TAAATCATGATCCATAGTACATAACATGTAGTTGTACTATGGATCATTTAAAGTCACCTGTCCCTTTAAGAAAGAGTATCGGTAATTGATATCGGCAAGTACATGCGGGGAAGTACTTGTACTTGTACTTGGTCCTGAAAAAGTGGAATCAGGACATCCCTAGTTTTCACTTTTTTTATCCCAGTGTTGCTGATCTCCACCTTTTCAGTCACTTACTGATTACACAAGGTTTTTTTCCAGTATCAGTTGCACATCATTTCTCTAGGCCAGCTTCCTAGAAGGGACAACTGTGAATGATGTCCAATTTATGTATACAAACAAGGTAATCTGTGACAGGGTGACAGCACAAGAACACATTTTACTGCCCTTAGCAGTTAATGTCTGAACAAAAATCCTTCATGAGAGTATAACCAGGTATTATTTTAATGAAAGCTGCAGATTTGAAAACATTAAAAACACATTTCGAAATTACATTAGCACATTAAAGCTTATAAGAGATTTTAGTGATAGGGTTTAATGATACTTTAATAGCAATCCGGTGATTCAGCTTGTCAGCATCTACGGTAAATGTTAAGGAAAGTTTTTTCAAATCACATTTTACACTACTAATAGCATCACATAGCTTTGTGGCATTGTGGATGATTTAAACAAAAATCCAAACAGAAGCAATACATATGGTATGTATTCTGAACATGCTTTAGTATTATTTACACCTGCTTGCATTTAGAGTTGAACTTGTATTCAGACAGTATTTGCTTATTCTTTATTTCAGCTTTAATGTTGTATAGGATTAGAAGCTGAATACTCATGAAATACATGATCGACTAACATTTTTCAAACAACAATATTAATTTATATTATCACCAGTGGTAAAACAACAATATTGCAAAATTCTTATATTACATTGATAATAAGTGACAACATTTTGTCGTGCTTCTCTAGGTTTCAATCAACTCTAAAGATAAAGGAACCAAATCAAGTGCGGTGTTACCATGAGCTGCATGTTAGCATTGCTACACATTTCATATTCCAAAATACAAAAAAAAAGTATCCACTGATACAAATAATAAAGGGATTATGCAAAAAAATGAGCAATGTCTGTTATCCAAAAGGAATTATGTTGTGAACGCAGACTAAGTTGGTGCAAAATCTACTTCTTTTAATAATGTATCCACTTGTTTATTTTTAATTTTTTTTGCACTTCCATTTTACATTATTTCACATTTTGGATTTAGTCATCGATTCTACAGTCTATTTTACTTACTTACCTACTTATGGCCTAGTTAAAGAAGAAAAATATATATTCATTAGGTCAATTCATTTTAGGAATATTATGCAAAATAATTCTAATATTTTCATTGAAGTATTTTTTAGAAAGTCAAAATAGTAGCTCCTTGTCGTATTAAAAAAGTTTAATGATCTTCTTTAATCAATGTACTCATAAAAATATTTATATGCGTTATAATATATTGGACCACAGCATTCCCTTGTAGTGCATTATGCAATATCTATAAAATATTGAAGTGGTAGTCCTTACTTTACTTTTATGGAGTGTAAAAATAGACTTGTACAACAAATGATCTCTATTCCAGTGAAAACTCAGAAAATTGAATTATTCAATGTTCATTCACATTTTTACAACAAACAGCATCTCTATAAGCTACATATTAATTCACCATTCACAATTTTTCTCTGTAGTTGGTTTCATCCAAAATGCAAAACCGTACGTTTCTGTCATATAGATATTAAATGAATGTTATGGGGTACTATTCAACTATCATTCAATGTCTTTAAGAGAGTAAATATATCACTTTTTGAAAATGAGTGCTAATGAATAGGCCAGCAAGCTGTTTGCCAAAGCATTTTGTTTTTGTTTTTTTAAGATCTCGGTGTAATTAATATATGTGGCTATATTCATCCCATGAAATTGAGATAGTGAAGAAATTTCAAAGGCTCTAAAAATATACAGGAGTGACGTGAGAGAAAAGCACTTCTCTCTAATGAAGGTGTCTCTGAGTAATACAGCTATGTTAAGAAGTCTTTTATATGTTCGCTGGTTGAAAGCCATCGACCAGATTCTAGCTGTCAGTCTTATAGTGCAGGTGCACAAAAGTGCACTGGTCATTATAAGCAACACCTCCACGTTCTCTAACCTGTATTCATGAGGCTAGAAATACCAATAGGGAAACAACACCAAATGTTTACAAAGGTTGTGAATAACGATAAAATTAATTTAGAGCTCTTAATACATTCATAGTGGGCTATGATGAAAAGATGTTTCTAGCCACACCACAGAAATCAGTGGAACCACACTGATTGCCTGGGAAAAGGATCCTCTCCTTGTTATTGTAAATTTGTATTTGAAAGATTAGTAGTTTGGAGTTGTTGTGTGACTAAACAGCAGGTTGGAGACTAACTTCAGGACAGGTCCTGTACAAGGAATCTACCCCAGGCATGCCCCTGTCATGAGTTGCTGAGCCAACTGCCTCAGGAGGTGTCTTTGAGTTAAAAAAGGAGACAGACACCTAGAGTGTAGAGTTAAAAAATATTTGTTGTACAGTGGTTTTCACTGCTGTGTATGGCCCCTATAACTCCACTGGTCATGGCATTGGTCATGCATCCCAAAACTGTGCAATAACCCTCACATAAAGGCAGTATGTGTTCCGCCAAGAGAATGCTAAGCTCTCATGAACAAGGTCACCTAGCCAATAATAAGAGAATGCCTTTTTAGATCTCCCCTATGTCCCTTCATTATAAAACATGCTGTGTTTCTTTTTTCACACTAAAGAAATGCAGGAGAAATAATGCAAAGATTTAATTTAAGGATTTTAGACTTTCCCCTAGCAATAAGGCTCATTTTCACTCCTAGCTATATTCTTCAGTTATATTTGATTGGCTGCCATGCACAACACTGCCATCCTTCTTTCCAGGATTTATAAATAGAAGTTAGTGATTAGCCTTGTGTAAATTGGAAGGGTTAGATTGTGAGGAAATATAAAACACATATATATTGAATAAAATATTTTGTGTAACTTTCTTTAACTTTGTATACATGTGCAGTTCCCATACCTATAACTTAAACCACCAAGGTGGGATTCTAAAAAAGAGGGAAGTTAAATAAAACATGTAAATTACACCAAGCTCTGTTTCACCGTTCTTCTGACCTACTGTCTAGAACTCCTGGTCAACAGATACCACTAAGAGGTAGGAGTGGGTTACAGGTCCCAAAGCACAACTGCATTTAGACTTTGCAAATACAAATAATACAACTAGGGATGCACAGATACCGTTTTTTCGGTATTGAGTACGAGTACCGATATTTTTTTCGGTACTCGCCGATACCGAATGCCGGTACCGGAAATCCTATTACAGAAGCCGGGCGGCAGGTCTCCGGCTTCCTGATTAGCCGGGAATGCGGCTCCATGCTCCTTCATCACCAGGTGATGAGGAAGCATGGAGTTGGCTTTCTGGCCAATCAGGAAGCGGGGGCGGCGAGTCATTACACGGCTTCCTGATACCAGAAGTTCCGGTATTGTGACATGCATTGGGAGCATTTTGGCGAGTACGAGTACCCAAACACTTGGTATCGGCACCGATACTAGCAAATACAACTCTTCAGATAAATTTGTAAATTGCGAGTTGCAAATAGTAAATGTATTTTAAAAATCAGACTGCTGTTGAAAAGATGCTATTTTACAGAAATAATGACACTGCTCTGTTACATACTCTGTTATATACTGATTAAATGAAATGTGTAAACGTATAATCTCTCATGTTCTACTCTAAATAGCCTGGAGATTTGCGCTGCATTTATCTATGGGAAAGCTGTACTGAAAGAAATGCATAGGTTGCCATTTCTGACCTCTCCTTCAGTAACCTTTATCTGCTTGACCATCATACTGTTCCTCTAGATTTAACCTGGACGTTCTAGATTGATTATGTGAAAAAGTGAATAAACAGAGGTTAAGTTTAATCAAAACCAAACCCAGAGGTAAATGAAGCCGACATTGTACACAATTGGTGCCTTTCATTTAAAAAGTTGTGCATTTCTTTGCCCCTTTTTGCCTTCCAATCTTACAAATGGTTGCTCTAGTGATTGGAAACCGTGCTAAGCGATCAGGAGGCTCAAAAAGTTGGAGAGACAGGGTTAAGCTAAACCTTTCTAGGAGAGCTGTATACAAATTCAGCTACCTATGTCTCTACATCTGCTGATCATACCGACATGACATTTTTATTCTTATGTACTTTTCATCGTCTGATCAGTAGGAAATGCCCACGTTTGTGATAGGTTTGTTTTGATATGGGTAACTGACATGACACGAATATGCAGATCAGGAGTTCTGACTTCCCTTGCTTCTTCCCATCAGTGACTTAAAGTATTAAGACTAGAAACATTCAGGCAACTAGTATTTTAAGAGGAAGGTCATCAACAGCAGTCTATTTCTTCCAGTATGGGAGTCTTTTCACTGCAAGTCAGCCTTGACTAGCTTGGAGAAGAGAGAGGGGACGAGGGAGGAAGGAGGAGAGAATGAGTGGGGAGCAGCAGAGTGGTTTGCTTTGCTGTGCCTGTGTGTTTGTGGAGGCACACACATCTTACTAGCACACACATGGATGGCTCCGGTGGACCATGCAAGGTAAAGGAGCCAGCCTAAAATAGGTTATCAGGACCAGTGCTCGGTAAGCCAACTGATTCTGCTGCTAAAACCTTTAAGCATCAAGGAGCAGCATCCATTGTAAGTGATTTAATCAGCATTGGAAATAGCTTAAAGGAGAACTATGGGGTAAGTGTTTTTCCCCATAGTTCTCCTAAGGGTCACAGGAGGACATATACTAGCGTCCTCCCATTTCCCAAATATTTGGGTCAGTCAGCTACGTTAGAAGCTTTGGCATCTTAATACAGTAAGCGGAATGGGAAACTACTTACATTCAATTTTGATGTGATTGTAATACAAAGTGTGACTGTTCCGTAAATTTGTGCTTACCTTGTTTTGATATATATTAGTATGTGCAATATAAAGAACTCTGTGCATTCCTAGTATACAACATATTACTATACTATGACGTTACTTACTTCTCACATCATTGTTTATGTACAGTGTAGTAACATTGAAACGTAGCTGTGTTTGGTTTCTGAATGTATAGCTGCTGAACACATAGCATGCTTATTTGAGGTGTGCACACATAATCTTAGCCACAGCACATTATACATTATACTAGATATTACTTAAAATATACTGTTTTCTTGTTGATATTCATGTTGTTCACCATGTGCTGCATATTTACAACATACACCTTTAAAGTGTATTGAGTCAAGAGCTTTGAGGCTAACTGTACATTGAAGGCAGCTGCCGTTTTCAGGTTTGCAAGGGCAGGAATTTAATGGATCGGGATGATTTGGGAGACTCTTTCCAGGTGTCAGTACTGTGGGTTGGACTTCTTGTTTGGACCCTGGTAAAAGAAGTCTGTCTCCTTGTACTGCTGTCAGAATCCTCTTTGTTCAGGGTGTGCTTGAACCTGTTGCAGCAAAGAACACTGAAGACGAAATCTTGAAGTAGGTGTCCACTGAAAAACATGTATATCCAAGGATTGCAGCAGCTGTTCAGGCTTGCTAACAAGGCGGACACGGCCACTGCAGTGTTTTCATTCTCTACAAGAAATAAAGAATATACTAGTGAAGATCTAACTCAATATTCCACTCAAACCACCTCTTCCATCATTGTTCTTGTTACTACTGTAATCTAGTTTATCTATATACATTACTTGGTCCTTTATTTACATTGTAGCTTTTTTTTCCTGGAGATTTTGTATGGTTGGCACCTGCCTCTGACCCCTGTTCAGCACCCAAAAATCTCTAAGTCTAAACGTGTGAGTTGAATGGGCAATATCACATTTCAGTGCTATAGAGTTGGCATTGTGGCAAGGTTGGCTAAATGCTATTTGCAGCACTCGAATTATGGCTTCCTATTTTTCTATGGCTTCTCCCACCCAGAGGTTGGCAGTCCAGCCATTGGGCAGAAAGGTGCCTGTAACACATTGGTGAGTTGCTCTCCTGTCTAACAAAGCAAGCCTAAATGTTTCTTCTAAGTTATTGAAAAAAGGAAATATCAGCAAGACAAGAGCACATGGACATACAGCATGTTTTTAATATGCAAATTGCTGTTACACAAAAATACAGAAGGTAGACCAACAAACACACGCCAGTGTCTTGAACATCATACCACCTACTGCTTTCCAATATGGTCTCTAAAATTCAAATAAAGGGCTCTAAGACCATATATCGTTCCTGAGCATGAATTTCAAAGAACTCTATAGCGGGTTAAATGTGTGTGTGTGCGTGTGTGTGTGTGTGTGTGGGGG